TATTTTTTCTCCTTTTAACATGCCCCCCAAAATTATGTCCCAAATTGACTAACAAAATTAAATCCATCAAGCTAGTAATTATATAAGTTTTCAAATGACAATTTAGAAGTATTTCAGTTTTGTAGGTCTTGAGTTCTATGCCTAAAAAGAAAAAATTAGGGACACACATATAATATATATCTTAAACATTCACTTTCTTTCCCACCACCATCTTCCTATCACTCAGCCAGTGCTATGCTCACACGTAATTTCCAGATCGAAGAAAAATACCACAATTACAGCTAGCCATTTATGGCAGAACATACACGACTGAAAATACACCACAGAAGGGTTGAAGCTAGCACTCTCATTTGTAAGAAAAGTGCAAGAGAATCAGGAAAATCTCCAGTAATCATGGTGGAACATTTTAGCCATGATGGGACTTGTTGAGGCAACATTCATTTTGTATGCTATAATTTCCCAGCTTGATGACTGGAATTGGAGAATTCCTTTGAGAGCTATAAGTGCATTGTGATTTACACAACTAAATTATTAAAGTCTTGCCAGTAATCACTTTGCTAGAACTTGATTTTTATTTTGTCCTCACCAAATTGATAAATATCTCACAAGAAATGGGTAGAGATATGATGGATATGCTTACACCTGTTTCATGTTTACCCTAACAATTAAAAATATATATTTGTATTGACAAGCCTTTGAGAAGCAGAAAGTTCATTACCAAAAAGCATTTTTCAGAGTAACTTTTCAACAAACTGTATTTAAAAAACAACAAAACCACAAAAACAACAAAAAAGTCTTTTGTTTAATTGCTATCTACCAGCAGCAGAGAACATTCAGCAGTTTACAAAGTGTTTCTGACATGAAAGCAACATTATTCATATTTAATTATATTTCCAAACGGGCTCAATTTTTCATCATTAGTGATAATGATAAAGTGGTAGAAGTGTTTTTATCAAAGAAAAAAATCAGAAAGATGGAAACAGACAAAAAATATTTCATTGTGTATTAATAAACTAGGAATGAAACAGCTAACGGACAGTCATTCTAAATTCTGAGGAGCCACTAAGTATTCCCAAAGGCATTTCACAAAGAGAAAAACAATGAACCTACACAGGAGAAGCATTTCAGTAACTTTCATGGAGTCGCTGAATGGCTTGGGTTGGAAGGGACGCCAAGAATCATCAGGCTCCAACTCCCCTGCTGCAGGCAGGGCCGCCAACCTCCACACTTAATACTAGATGTTAAGGCAATGTGATTGCAACTTTCAGCACCTACCAAACACAGCCTCTTGAAGGTTTTAAGAAAAAAAAAAACTTAAAGAAAAATTAACTGGCTTTTTTCTATAATTATAGATTTAGTCAGCCTTTTCTAGCACATTTTACTAAGCAATCCTTAAATCTCTGCTAAAAAAAAAAATCTAGTAATTCCCTCAAACTGAAGTTGTAATTCATGTTTTGTTTCTGAGAATTCTTAAGAGATTGGAAAAACTTTTCATAGTATGCACAGAACAATATTAGGTATATTTATGAATAAAGCATCTTTCTTCTCACATCGATACCTTGGCCTTCTCTTCTCCTGGAAGCTCAGAAAGGGCCAGTTCAGCTTAGTGTCTTAAGAGGATTCCTCTCTTACATCACCAAAGCTCAGATATTTCCCTTATTGTTTTCTATACCTGTATTTTTATCTAACTTTTATCTAAATCAGTCCAGTCATATTCTTTTAACCAAAGAATGTAAAATTTACATTTGATCTACCTAGGAATAGAGAAACAAATTAAATGCACATCCATTTACACAGAACTTGCCTCGTCTCCTTAAGCTCACATCTGACATCTACAACAGCTCCAGCTCCACCCGACGCAGACTTCCAACAGTCTACAGTCTGCTGTCTGAACCGCTTTTTCTTTCTTTTCAGTCTGGTTCACCAAAGAGACTGAAAAGGCCCTTAAGTCTAGTAATTGTAGAAGTAGAAAGGATTTCTCTTCTTGCCAGTCCTGGTTTTGCAGCTGTTAATCGTACTCCACTCAACTGCACCTTTTTCCAGGCAAAAGAAACTTAGCTTTCTGAGCATTTCACTCCTGCATGCCTACAACACTGCTCTGCTGGCACTGAATCCTCATGCTGGGATTTCCACAAAGCTCACACTGTTTCACAACCCAACATTCAAGACTTGCAGCAGGTTTTAACATGACCTTCATAACTATTTATAAGTGTGCTTCTTAAAAAGCTTAAATACTATTCCTATATTTAATTCTTATGTAGTTAACAAAATCACACTATTTGTAAGTTTTATTAACTCAACATACCTCTGATATTATTTTAAGTCACTTTCTGTATTCCAGTTTAAATGAAATCCTTTGAAAATACCAGTCCTCTGATATCAGTCTGTTCTTCTCAATAACTGCTTCTTTGAATTTTCCTGATTCTGCTTTTCACTTCAAAGTTAACAACTGTACAGAATTAAGAAGATTTATCTTAGAAATAGGAAGTGGGAGTTAAGGGGGGTTGGGTTTCTTCTCAACCTGGCCTGTAACTTGGTTCTACGCAGTTCACAAACGCTTTATGTACTATTGCACTTTCTACTAGCATTTCACTTGTTTGCTTTAGTTGATAATGCTGAAAGGAAGCAACAACATTCACTTCCTGCCTTCCTAATCTTTTCCCCACAAGTACACTAACAATCTCACATCTCTGCTTATTTAGAATAAACTGATTTCATATCCAAACAGACAGCAAGTTTTCCTATTTCATGAGAAACCTTATCTAGCATATGACCTGAATGCATGTGCCATTAGTTAATTTTCAGTCAATCTGCCACTCTCCCATTATCTATCAATTCTATCATTGTTTCAAGATCTTGAAGCAATCTTAAGAGAAAATAACATTTAAAGATCTTTGAGCTACTGAAACATTTATAATCATTAAATCATCAAAACTAAAATAAAGAACACATCCATTGTCCAAATTAGGACAGGTCAGAAAAAAATAAAATGATTAGTCTCTCTAGAGTTCTCCTTCTAAGTGGTTCTGTATCATTATTATTTCTTAGCTGATAAAAGAATATCGACATTTCAGTATTTTTAGTTTGCTAGTTACATTTCTAAGTGTAATCATCACCCTTATCAAACAGGTACCTCAGCTAGTCTATTTTTAACCTATAGAGCACCATTACTGCAAAATGAAGTTTTAAGGATTCAAAAAGAAACCAAATAATTAATTCTTAGCAAGACAGAGATTTGTGGTTCCAAGTCAAGTTTCCTTTAGATAAAATCATGAGCTAGAGCTCTACGACAAAGAAGTCCTATGAGACATGAAAAAAGACTTCCATGCTGATGAATAACTCAACTCAAAACTGACACTAAACAAAAAACAAAAACTCGCACACATCCATGAAGAGCAATATGACTATGGCCTCAAAGGACTACTTAAGCTCATAAAAATACCAGCCCATTTGTGTGAACAAGCAGGCAAGCATCAGCAGTGTGAACATTTCCCCTCCTGTTCATAAAATAATTGAAATAATTGTGCTTTACAACTCACTGCATTAACAATTTTCCAGTTCTCCCCCAGATTAACTTTTAATTTAAAAATCAACTGTGTCATACATGATTTCAATATTTTGCTGGATGACCAAGCAAGGAAAGAATGAATTTTAACAGAGTCTAACGTGAGATAATGTGAAAGCTGTAACGTAAGTGAAAAATGGCCATGCTTCTAAGATAAAGCCCCAGCCACCAATCTCATTGTCAAGCCTGGCCATCTGTCAACAGAAACCTGATTTACTGCATATAGTGCTGCTATACTTGATTACTACTATACTGATATAAAAGGCTCCTCGTTTTTTTAAGCATACCAAAAGCTACTTTCTAGCAATGTAAAAGAGTTAATAAAACACCTCCTCAGAAACCAGACTTTACAAAACCAGTTTTCAGACCTTGAAATCAAATTCCACATCATTTCAATGTCATGGATAGATCAAATTGTTTCACGAATAAGAAAACCAAGGAAACAAAAGGAAAAAAAAAAATGCTAATAAATAAACATCAGTTTCACCTTCTAAGTACAGTTACTAGCAATCGCACTGATGTTTGTTTCTTATGGAGATGATTTTAATGATGGGTAATAGCAATGTCTTTTAAGAAACGTTTCCACAGTACCTCTTGTCAAGACGACCATCAATACAGAGGCCATTTTTCTTCATTTGATAACTAGTCCAGATACCTAACCTGTTTGCAAGAGCACCAGTGAACCAGAGCATCCTCAGATAATGGCCTGTAAGCACTACACACATTGTGAACTTACACTGTGTGGTAACAGCTCAGAGGAGCATGCCTAGTACCACTCCTTCCCCTTCCCTGTGCCAGGACAAAAATGCCTTTGTACAAGATTCATACTTCACATCAAATACCCACTGAGTGAAACAGCTGCAGGTACTTGCTGAGGTTAATCAAACAAATCAAAGAACAGCATCTAGTAATAAGACGACAATTTTTCTCTTAAAACAAGAGGCCTACGCTGCAGGTGGTTTTGTCCCAAGCAAGAGGAAAAAAACATGTCCTGAGCAGCTGCTCATTAGGTGAGCACCATTCTGCCTGAACAGCAAATGAAACAAATGTCATGTGGAAAAAAACACATTTACAGTCATGTAATTAGACACAGTAACACAGGCATATCCAAAAGAGGAAGGAAGACAGGTACAAATTACAGTTGCACAGGCAATTTATTTCTGGGAGTTTATCAGTTTTGATGCCTCTGAACTTGGACCTCATCATTTCATTTAATGAGGCTTCTTTCCTGTTAATTTTTTTCTCATTATACAATAACAGATAATCTTGACTAATCAATTCCTATAAAAAAAACTTATATCTCCAAATATTTATTTGAAATCAAACAGAAAAATAAGGGCACCGAGAAAATAAAAGAACAGATCAAAATTAATGCAAACCACATAGGATCTAGCTGTAAACATTATACAGAGGTGAGAACTTGTTTCAAGCCTACCTGATACTCATTGGGCCAGAAGGTGCTGACAGCCAGCTCTGCTCGAAGCCAGTCTTTGCCAGTGGAGCCAGTGACATTCCAGATGGGATTAGCCAGCGGCCCTTTGTTCACCCTAACCAAGATGTTCAGAGTTCCTGGGTTTGCTCCACTCTTGCTATACAGAAGATAACTGAAATCGATACAGTGAGTATCATTTTCTTTCATTGTTGGAAGCTGAAGTCGAGTCTTTTCTCCAGGGTCATGGTCCGATGAAATCACTATCATATATGACCCTAAAGAACATGGGAATGGGAAAGGGGAAATAAGAAGAAAAAAAAAATAGTAAGTAAAGATAAATGCCAAGAAGATGATTGTTCGCAGTAAAAAAAAAAAAAAAAAGAATGAAATGCATACATTTTCATATCACAAAAACTCAAAATTCACACATGAAATCAAGCTAGCTATAAAATGCCTAGAAATGCCACTGAAGTAGCATCTACAGAAGATATAACATATCTCTAAAGACCTCTGTAGATGCTTCCAACTAGAAACATTTCTCTCCCCTGCTTTAAGATCAGATAATTGGAAGTAGGATCACAGGGCTCAAAAATAACGAGAAGAACAAAGGATTGTCATTATTTTTGAAGTCATTGGGGCCAAAATTCTCTCAATTTGCTCAACTGGTTTCCTGAAAATGAAAAATATGGAATAATAAGGCCCACATTCCTTAGTGCTGCTTTACCAAATCTTCCTCCACCCAGGAAGAGGCTTGAATTTTAGATATACTGGCAACAGAACTAGATCACTTAGGACAAGCCACATTTGTTGCTCATTTGCCAAATGGGTTTGAAATGAACACGAAGGCTTCTATTCCTGGAAGGGAGCCCATCCTATAAATTTATTTTACAAGTACACAGAAGACAGAACAAGTTGAGCCTGTCTAGCTACAGAGGCAGAAAGCAGAAAACAGATGTTTAACAAGGTGATACAGGACATAAATAGTGAAATAGTTTGTCCACGTGCTCTGCACAATGAACAGTAAAGACATGGCTGCCAGTCTATTTTACTGTACCCCAGCCTTACAGCATCCTCATTCCTTCAAGAGCAATGACTCTATGTCAGTGCGCTACCTAGCAAATTAATCCAACACAACAAGCCTTCTGAGATACTCCATGTTTCAAGTGTGTAAAACTTTGCAGCGAGGTGGAAAAAGCCAGCTCAGTATAGAACCTGAATCCCTGCCATAGTCTTACTTAATGGTTGCAGAACATTTATATTGATAGATTTTGCTTCTGCTTTACTTAAGAGAACCATTATAAAGAACCATTCTTTCTGAACAGTCAGATAAAACCCAAACTTACAAAATTAGACTAAATTTAAAAAATTTTTACAATTACAAGCACTTGCCCAAAATGAGTAGTCCTGAGTATGTATGTGAATATTATTGATTGAAAACCTTCTCTTAAGCATACACTTCTGTAAACAATTACATTTATGCACATGAAGTTTTATCTTTTGATTTTTATCCAACCAGGAAATACTGTGTTCGAAGATGCTCTAAACAAATGTACCTACCATTCTGGAAACTGTTGGCATGCAGTTCATCAGAAGATGATGAAAACTTATGCATGTTGATTAAATCATCATTGTGAGATAGTAACTTACTACCTTATAAGTCAATTTTGTGCTAAAAAGTTTGTAACAAAAAAGGCAGCAATACAGCAGAAATCAGCTCTTTTTATAGCATAGTTCAGGAATTTTTTAAATACTCCTCTTCAAAATAAAAACAACATCACATAATAAGCATCTAGTTAGTATTTAGAATTACACATAGAACCTTTGGTTGATTAACTTTTAAAAGAGAATTGACAGACTATCAGTTAATTGCTATCTTGTTATCATTAATAGCCACTTTTACAGGCACAAAGAATTGCATTACACTACGTAGGTTTGCTATTAGAGAACTCCAATGATTATGGTTTAGAATCAATCAAAAAATTTCACACAAGCTCTTCCAAGAAGTGTTGCTATACTATGATCACCGGTGGGCAGTTATTATGCCTCCTGTCTCTAGAACAAACTTATTTAGAGAAAAACTGTTTGTAATCTCTGTCTTAATGCATACTGTCTTCTAAGCACCAGATTGTTCATGAATGATAAAATACAGGATATTATTTTGCAAATTTGGGAGCAAATACTATGCATTTGGCAGGGGAAGGTTATGTCAGCAATTGTGGGATGTTCTTCCTACATGAGTTAGAAAAGCAAAAAGGATAAGAAAAAAGTTACAAAAACTGCTTTCCACAGCATTAAGCACAGACTCTCTTCATTGCCTCTTAGTCTTTGTTACATCCATCCTGCAAATGTATTTAAGTAGACAAAAAACAAATTATTTTTCTCCTAAAAAATATTTTCTTTATTTCTAAAGCTAAAAGAAAGGAGCAGATACGCTCTCCAACTTTTTTATTTTTTTTTCCCCCTGAAGGGAATCTGAGGGAGGGAATGAAGGAACAGAATATAAGAAATGAAGTTTGCAAAATTTTTGAAATATTTTTTTCAATTTGTCTAAAGATAAAGATAGAACTATGAGGTGGAAATGAAGATCAAAATCAAACTAGAAATAGTCCAAGACCTTGTTTCTATACTAAGTTAATCTACAATGGTCTTTAGAAGCAACACTATACAGTTTTCAGCATATACACACATTTTATAGTACTCTACTTACTCAACCTCATATTCTGTCATTTAAAAATACTAATTTTGCATGCGTGTATATATATATATATATACACACACACACACACACGTTTTAGTCCCATAACATTTCATGAAATGCTCCAGACAGCATTCACAAAACCATTTGTCACAAAGCCAAAGCATCTGTTCAGCATCTTGCAAACTACTTCCCCTTTCCTCTCCTTTTCCAGCTTCTTACCAGGCTACCTCCGTGAACGTATACAGACTTGCTCTTTCCTCTGTCATCTACTAAGTCCATGAAAATTAGAAGCCAATGCCAAAGTCAGCTAGACCTCAAATTTTTATTTCTGAAAAACTCAGTAAATATTTCCTTACATCTTTGATAAGAAAGGCATTCTTTATTTAAAAAAAAGCTATGTTTGGAAGCAAGATTGAAAGATTTTCTTTTCTATACATGCTTGCAATACCTTAAGTCAAAATGTTATTAAAGGTTAAGTGTAGTAGTAATATATAAGTAAAAAAAAATATTGCTCTGCAATGAATTATAAAATACATAAGGTCAAATAAACGTGACTAGAAACTAAAGAAAGAACATTGTTACAAACAAAAGATTTAGAACCATAAGTCCAGCAAAAACTGAGATAGCACAGCATTAATAAAGTTTGAAAACCTCAAAAATATGGATTAAGGAAACACAAAGCAATGCCCATTGGAAGAATGATCACAGTGTAAATGTATCCCTATAATCATTCACAGAATCGACACCAGTCTCCTGTCACTTTCCAAAATAAGTGGTGTGCTTGAAAAACATCACTAGAAATGAAGTAAAAGGGTTAAATAGCATCAGTACAACAATATTTCCCTTCATATTTTAAACAGCAGCTATCCAACAGAGCATAAGATTTATGATAAATATCATGTAGGTACAAGTATTAAAAATAAATAAAACACCTTCAGTGCCAAGGGAGAGACATTTTATAAGGCTATGTAATGACAGGATGAGGGGAAATTACTTTAAAATGGGAGAGGGTAGATTTAGACTAAATGTTAGGAAGAAATCTTTACTGCAAGGGTGAGGAGATGCTGGATCAGGTTGCCCTAAGAGGTTGTGGATGCTTGCACTCTGGAGGCATTCAGCGGCAGGCTGGATGGGGCTCTGAGCAACCTGGTCTAGTGGGAGGTGCCCCTGCCTATTGCAGGGGGTTAGAATTAGATGATCTTAAAGGTCCCTTCCAACCTAAACCACTCTATGATTCTATGACAACATCCACCCAAGTATGCATTCAGATAGCAGAGTACAGAAACCCTGGACAGGGAGCAAAATATTTATCTAGTCTCATGCACAGTAAATGTGGTGGTCAGCTGACTATGCAAATGGGCAGATAACATACACATTGCTATACAAACAATTAAATGTAGGCTCCGTATAAAATATTATAAGTGATATGTATAACTCCATATAAAATAACAATAATAACAACATAGAGAAACAAGTCTAAAATACTGCATTATTACCAAGTCAAAAACTTTTAATTAAATAGGTGCATTAATAAAGGAATGACAAGAGACCGCTTAGCTAATCAATGTCTTGGATTATTATTAGTGGTAATATTGGCAGGGTACAAAAGCAAGTGATGGGAAGTAAACTTCAGCAAACCACTTCAAGTAACAGGGAACAATTACCCAAATATTTAATGCTAAAAGAGGAAAGTAGGACAGGAGATCACAAGTCATACAGTAATATATTATTAAGTTTGGCAGAAATGCAAAGTATAAGCAAAAGAAATGTTAACAAACCCTAAGATTAACTAAACCCTCAATTAACATTTTCAGTCAAGAGTATAGACTAATTATTAGAGCCAAATACTCAGAGATGTCCCATGCTGGAGCAGGGGAATAGGGCACAGATCCAGTGGTGTGTACAGATTACAATCTCCATACCCCACATTTCAGTTTTTGCTCATCATCCAATTCATACTTAAGTGGTAATAAATTAAATTTTTCCTCAAGTCAAGTCTGTTTCGCTCATGACAGTAATTTTTAAGTGAGGTCCCTGTATTTACCTCAAGTCGTAAGATTTTTCATTTTCTTATCTCTCCCTGTTCTGATAAGGAGAGGGCAGAAAGCATCCAGATAGGCAGTTAGATACAGCACAACTAGCTATTTTACTAAATCCCAGTGAAGCCTCTGACTTTTACCATTACATTGGTCTAAGAGATCAAACGTAGGTAGAAGTAAAACACTATATAAACCTATTTTCATTGTAGACAATAAAGAAAAGGAAAAGAAAAAAAGTACCCTACTAGAAACAGAGCACAGGTTTTTACAAGAAAGAAGTCATTGAAAGTGAGTTGCTCTCCTAACAACCAAAACAAAACAGTACCAAATTTTTTTTTCTCTTTTTTTTTTAATAAGATGGAAAAGGAAGCTTTTTTTGTTACAAGACAGAAAAAGATAACATCACCTTTGGTTATTCTGTAAGAAGTCAGAGGTGAAGAGTATCCAAAATCATCATTTACTTTTGGACAAAGAGTCATTGTTCTTAACTGCTCCATTCACTGACCATTTTTCACTATGTCTACGTGAAAAGACTTTA